AGGGCTGTCTGCCGCCAAGCAGCACAGCATGTCTGCCGGTCACCATCTCCAGAGTGGACCATGTGGAGACAGGGAGTCACTGTTGATAGAATCAGGAGTAAACTGCCCAAATAAACTGGTTCGTGGCCTGCCCAGGCAAGATCAGACTCATGTCCCTCCCAGGAAATAGGAATGCCATCAATCCTGACTGCCCTAACCCTTTAAATCCCTGTCTGCCACAGCCCACATGTGGATTTCTCCCTGGTCAGGAATCTCACCCCACGTGTACTCTTGGTGGAATAAAGCCCACTTTAACTGCATGAATTGGATCTCCGTTTTTCTTTCATCTTGCATCTTGGAATGATTTTATCCTTGGGTCCAGAACCTTTCAAACTGTCAGGTCACTGGATTAGGCACAAACATCTGGGAAGAGTCTGAGTGTGGCGGCTCATGCCTGCAAACCAGCACTTAGGGAGGCCTCTGTGAGAGGATCACTCAAGACCAGGAGTTTGAGTTTGAGATCAGCCTGAGGAACTTAGTGAGACCCTGTGTCAAGTTTTCTTTTTTAATTAGCTGGATGTGGTGGCACAGACCTATAGTCCCAACTATACTCAGGAAGCTGAGGCAGGAGAATCACTTGAGCAGAGGAGTTCAAGGTTACCATGAGCTGTGACTCACTGCACACCAGCCTGGGCAGTGACAAGACTTGTGGTTCAGTGAGTGAGGCACCAGCCCCGCATACTGAAGGTGGTGGGTTCGAACCCGGCCCTGGCCAAACTGCAACGAAAATAGCTGGGCGTTGTGGCAGGCACCTATAGTCCCAGCTACTCGGGAGGCTGAGGTAAGAGAATCACCTAAGCCCAGGAGTTAGAGGTTGCTGTGAGCTGTGTGACACCACGGCACTCTACCAAGGGTGATAAAGTGAGACTCTGTCTCCACAAAAACAAACAAACAAACAAACAGGAAGAATCATAAGGGAAGTCATACAGATAATGAATGGAAATGTAGGCAGTAGATGGTGAGAAGGATGAACGTGTGAGGCAAATGCAGTGGTGTGTAGTAGAGGAAGCAAACCAGCTGCCACGTGGCAATGAAAATGCAGGGAAGTCGGCTGTAACTATGAGAGAGTCAGTGCTTAAGAGAGAACAAATGGGGGGAGGACAGAGACACTGCCTCCCGCAGTTTTGGAAAAGGCACTGTCACAGTCAGGTTGGAAACAAAAATTCATATGTTGTGAGGTCAGCTGCCTCATTTTTCACTGTGTCTCAGCTGCAGATGTCAAAAAGGAGAAAGTCACACTGTCAGGGCAGGATGCCATTAGAAGGAAAGCCCGGGGATGAACACCCAGGGCCGTCTCCATGTTCTTATGCTGCAAGCAGGGGCTGAGAGCACAGGATTTAAGGGGACCAACCAAGAGGTAGGGAGAAGTCCCAGAGAGGCCAGGCTGCCAAAGTGAGCTTCCTGGGACCATCAGGAGCTGCTGCTTGTGATGTACACACAACACAATGAAGATTTTAATGAAATCAGAAGGGGAACAGGCAGATGATTTCATGACAGAAGAGAAACAATACCTCAGCCTGTCTCGCTGTGGCCCTGGCAGTCTGTAAGGACTAGAGAGTGAGCAGGCGGCCAGCACAGGCCTCAGCTCTGGAACCCCCGCCAAACCCTAGAGGAAGCTGTGAGGGCAAGCCTCAGTGAGTATGGATCCTGTCTGGGAGGAGCAGGCCCCAGAACAGGGAAGCCTCTTTCAGAACAAGGCAGGCTCCATCCAGGCGTTTCTCTCTTCAGATAGAGTTAGACGCCTGCTGAGTGGGGCTAGAGACCCTGTTTGGTTGGGGGATGGTAGTGGCTTCCTAGTGGCTGACTGTTTTTCCCTAAGGGTGACATGTGCCTGCACTGCCCTGGATCAGGGAGCGCCCAGAAGCTTTGAATCTGCACCCAGCTGGTGCAGACACTCCCTCAGGCAGCCATCTGGTGCTCATGTATGTGATACATGAGGCTGACTCAAGGAGACCTGTCTACAGAAGTCCCTTTCCACCTCCACCCCCGTTTCCACTTAAGAACATGTTGTCACCAAGTAGGAGGCCCTAGCTGAGGTCAGAAAACACAGAGTCCCCACTGGCATAGGGTGCTCCAAGAAGAAGACAGACACACCTCCAGCATCCCAGAACAGCCACTCTGGGGCCGGAGGGAAGCGTCCCTGCAGCAAGGGCGTGGGCAACACCTCAGTGGGGACTCTTTGCCGCTGAGCTGTTAAGCAGCACCACCTTTACCATTGCCAGGGCCTCACTTGGTTAGATGCCCCAGCGAGGTGCACAGCCTGGAGTCAAAGTCAGAGATGGCATCAGGCCATCTCAGCCCTGGGTCTCTGCTGGTGACAGCACATGCCTCCCAGTGCATCTTTTTGGTTGTAGGTGGCAGGGGCAGAGGCCATGTCATGTTCCTAGAAGAGCCCCCACTGCTCTAAAGCAGGTTCCTGAAAGAAGCTGCCCCTCTAGTCCTCAGCACCAGCCTCCACACATCCCCACACTGTGCCACTGGGGCCAGCAGCCACATGCAGTAGGAATCAGATCCTGTGGGAAGCCTGCTAACCAAATGCCCTTCCAGGCTTGGCCCGTCCCACCCCAGTCCAGGTGCCATGACAGGCCTCTTGCCTGCCCTGAAGCTGCCCCGCAAATTGTTGGAACACACGAAAAGATGGAAGAAAAGCCTAAGACCATAGTCACTGAGGCCAGAGCACAGAGCAGGTTCCTCATGGGTTGGGGCCCAGACCTAATCCTAAATTTCATGTGGAACCAAAAAGGAGCATGAATAGCCTATGCAAAATGAAGAAATTTGGACACATCAAATTACCTGACTTCAAATTATGCTACAAGGCTGTAGTAACTAAAACAAGCATGGTAGTAGAAGAAAAGTTGACACACAGATCAATGGGATGAAGTAGAGAATCCAGAAATAAAGCCATATGCCTAGGAACAGCTGATTTTAGACAAAGCAGACAAAGGCCTACACTGGGAAAGCATAGGTTTTCTGTTCAATAAACAGTGCTGGGAAAATTGGATAGCCACATGCCAAAAAATGAAACTGGATCCCTAGCTCTCACAATATACAAAACCCAGCTCAAGATGGACTAAAGACTTCGATGGAAGACCTAAAACTATAAAAATTCTAGAAGAAAAATTATTGTTGTGGTTTTTTTGTTTTTTGAGACAGAATCTCTGTTGCCCCAGGCTAGAGTGCTGGAGCACCAGCCTTACAGCAATCTCAAACTCCTGTCCTTAAACAGCACTCCTGCCTCAGCCTCCCAAGTACCTGGAGGTGCACACCAGAATCCCCAGCTAAATTTTTCTGTTTTTAATAAAGAAAGGGTCTCAG